TATATATATTCTGGTTCACATGGTAATTCTGTGCAACTTTTTGAGGATCCACAAGACTTATTTTCCACAGTGCTTGCTCCATTTTATAGTGCTGCCAACCATGTATAAGGCTTCTGATTTCCCATGTACTCAGTATTTGTAATTATCTGACCTTGTACTGCACCCACCCTAGAATGAATGGGTGTGGAGGAATATCTTGAGAGTTTTTGGTTCTCTTTAAATTAAGCCAAATGTCCCAACCATATTGATATTAAATGCACTGTACAGATGTTCAGAGACGCCACATGGACACCCCGCATGGGGAAGAGAGGCCAAGGCGGAGGACTAAGATGCTTCTTTTGGAATGGGGAGCACTGAAAGAGGAGAAGGGTACAAGAAAGAGTGGGGACATTGAACTTAATCTGAAAACACAGGGTAAAAATAAAGCCAAACAAATCACCACCTCAAGAAGTGACCCTCAATTCCAATTCTTCAGTGCCAAGTAGATGCTTCCTTTGGTTCTTGGTATGTTTGTCTCACCAATATCTCTACCCTTTCTGATTACTGCTTGTTCTTAGAGGGTGGGTAAGGAACAGAGGAGTGTTGTAGGTCGTTTGATCCCAATAAATATGCACATTTTGCTTGTGAAGCTTATTACACAGCTTCTGGAAAAGTCTGCTTCGCTTCTACTGAACCTGTAGATGCCAGCATCTTGGGACCCTCAGTGGCACCTGGGAGGGAAAAAATGGTTAGATCAAGATGTGAGCACACTCAGCCTCTTTTTTTTAACATGCTTTTTTCTCACCATGGTAGCATCTGGTGAGAGAGGCAAGGTGGCTCTCTGGTGCCACTTTTATCAGGGTACTGATACCACTTTTGAGGGTTTCACCCTCCTACCCTAAGTACCTCCCAAAGGCCCCACCACTAAAACCATCACATTGGTGACTGCTTCAACATATGAATTTTGGGGGGAGCAGGGCACAAGCACTCAGGCCATAGCATGGGTCTTTCCTGTCTATGTCTTTTTAAAAAATATTGCTAATCACTACTTTAGTTTGCATTTACCTATTACAGCTGGCCCTCCATACCAATGAGTTCTACATTCATGAATTCAACCAAACTTGCCTCCAATTTTTTTTTTTTTTTTTTTTTGGAACTGTGGATTGAACTCAGACCCTTGTGCTTGCCAGGCACGTGCTTATTCTACTGAGCCATATCCCTGGCCCTTAGATCCAAATTTTTTGGAAAAAAAAAAAAAAAAAAGCCCCAATGCCGCTGATACATACTATATATTTAGGCCTATGCTGGTGACAACAGTATTAGACACATCAGTGTCGTTATTTTCATTGTTATTATTTCCTAAGCAATACAGCACAACAACTATTTACATAGCATTTACAGTATATCAGGTTGTACTGTTCAGCTTGCAGTCACTAGAACAAAAATCTGAAATAAATCAACTTACGACAAGAATTTTTTTTTTTTTTTTTTTTTCCAGAACACGGGGATTGAACTCAGGCCCTTGCGCTTGCCAGGCAAGTGCTTATTCTACTAAGCTATCTCCCCGGCCCTTTAGAAAAATTTTATTTTGATTCATTTTTGGAGATTCTAGATGATGACTGATTGGCCCCATTGCTTTGGGTCGGGGGGGCAGGGAGAGTACCAGGTATTGCTAACACATACACCCCCATAACCAGAAGACTTTTCACTAGCTTCCACCTTTTAAAATTTCTATCACTTCCTAATAACGCTAACCTGAGGATCAAGACTATAACACATGGAACTTTGAGGGACACTTAAAGTCCAAATAATAGGGGCAGGGATATAGCTCAGTGGTAGAGCACTTGCCTGGC